TTTTTACAAAGAGTACTATGTAAACTTCTTTTTTTACTAAGTAAGTCTCTCTTTGACTACTAATTAAAGTTGTAGAGAAAGTTTGTGTGGTTCTAATAGTAGTAAGCTCGCTAAATTTGGTCTGGTGAATTATGAGATATTAACAATTTATGTTTTGTGATTATATGAAATTTTCTTTGCAGATCTGCAAAGAAATTTCATATGATTACAAAACGTAAATCGTTGATATCTCATGATTCACCAAACCAAATTTAGCAAGCTTACTTTCATTAAAACTGCACAAACTTCTTCTACAACTTTAATTAGTAGTTAAAGAGAGATTTATTTAGTAAAAAAAGAAGTTTACATAGTACTCTCTGTGAAAATCTTTGGCCATTTCTACTACTATTAAATTTTTATATGAAATACCTGCTGAATTTTACTATGATGCTTATATGATGCTTATACTCTTTAACAGCAAATTACCTCTTAATTCATTGACTATTTGTGCTAGTGTATCCTTGTGTAGCCTTGATTTAAGCTCTGTTTATATTAAACAACCTTATAATTTAAATAATTAAATAATTATTTTTTTAAATAGAATTTTGTAAAAACTATTCTAATAAAGTTAATAATAAACTATCATTTAAGCAACTAAAATAAATAAAATATGTTATAAACTATAAAAATAAACTAATAAAACTATAAAATATAGGGTGCTTTTAGGCATCTCTCGCGAGAGATACATCTCCCGCAGGGAGATATATATCCCAACCATCTCAACCAATCAAAAACTGCAAATATCACATGATATGATCCCGAAGTACTAGACATATTTGTACTACTCAGACCTTTATTTTACCAATCAACTTCAGACAAAAAAAAACCAAAAAAATACTTCGTTCTAGTATCGTACTACGTATTTAATTTTTTCACACCCCGCACGGCTAATTTATTTTAATTTGTCATATTTACATCATACAGTATTTAATTAAACATTATCGCGTAACGATTATAAATTTTATTAAAAAGAAAAAAAAAAAACGCACAATATCAACAAAACCCAAAACCAAGAATATTGTCATACCGATGATAATATTAACAACGGTGACTTCACTAATACTTGTTGCCGATTTCACGTCACAAAATATGCAACGAATATCGACAAATCCCAAAAACCAACGAATATCGTCACATCGATGATAACATCAACAATGGTGACTTCACCAAAACCTGGTGCCAATTCCACATCACAAAAAACCTAAAAAACCTAAACAAGCCAAAGAAGAGAAAAAACATTTAGCAAACACAGGAATATAACAAAGAAAGAAAAAAAAACAAAACAAAAAAAAACTACTCACCAAGAGCGCTGATTCCAGTCTGACAAAATCTAAACAAGCCAAAGAAGAAAAAAGAATAGTTAGTA